TACTTTGTTCCTTTGTATTTCAGAATGACATGTCCACAAGATAAAAGACTAATTTCGGCATCCTGCACGAGAGATTCCCACCCAATACCCAGACAGCGGACGCCTGTTGGGTAAAGGTTCATTGCTGATGCGAAGTACAAATAAAGGCTCATGTACAGAATGAGCTCAGTCGCTTACTTCAGCTGAATTCATCTCTCAACAGAAGGATTGTTTAAGTCTGATTAAGCTTCCTTGGGAGCTTGGTTCACTCCTAAATCGTATTATTGAAGCTTAATTAGTGGATGTGATCAAAGTTTGTGTTAAATCAACCTCACTAATGGGATTTCTGGTGATGGCATTAGGTCTAGAGTAGGCCATGTCATCTATTTTGAATAACTATGGCAACTTCATATCCAAGTGATCCTACAAAGGACAGTGTCACAAGTGGTGATTTAAAGTGTAATGTAGCTCAATTAGTTTTCAACGGCCATTTTTTCCCACATGGAATTGCCTTTTGAGCATTCTTATCCGTTTGTAATGAGTTAATAGTTTTTTATATAATATCCGCGACAGCGGAGTAAGGCGCTATATGGTGTACGGTTTTTATTATGCGCGAAGGTTCTCAAGATGTCCACAAAGAAGAGGGTTGACATTCAGGCTTACAGCTTGCAATCCCAAGGGATCACAATTAACTATTTCGTCCCAAGTCTATAAAGTAAATTTGAAAGATACCACTGTCATCCCCTGTCACAATTCCTCGAGTGACAAAAAAGTGATAGTTACTCGGGGAAAAAAGCTTTACACGAACATTGATTGTCACATGGTCTTAGCGTATTTGGTCCTGTCTTTTCAGGTAACATTTAAAGAAGTTTACAAAGAGTAAAAAATATAAAATATAGTTGATTCGTGTTGCACTACCAGTTTAGGCGCATGCTGACATAGTGCAGGTGAATAGCGACAATAGATACTGGCCGACACCGTTATGCCACACATTTGCCGGGCGACATGGGTTAAGGCGACAACCCAGCAAACAACGCCAGCTGACTTATCTACAGTTAATCCAAGTGTCATGGATTTGCTGAGACGGTTAACGTGTAGCTATGGTAGGTGTCACGGGTTTGCTGAGACGGTTAACGTGTAGCTATGGTAGTTGTCACGGGTTTGCTGAGACCGCTACCATGTAGTTATGGTAGATGTCATGGGTTTGCTGAACGACTACCGTGTAACTGAGGTGGATGCCATGGGTACCTTGCTGAGATAGTTAACGTGTAGCTGCGGTGGATGCCCTGGGTTTGCTAATACGACTACGGTAGAGCTACGCTTGGTGACAAACATTGCTGAGCTATATATCCTTTAGTTTCTCGTGGTCACATGAGCTTGCCTTGACGACAAACATGAAACTCTATCAGGTGAATAGAGTTGCTAACAAGAAACTCTTCAGTTGTTATTGTTTTCTAGCCATGGTGCTGTTTCAACAGACAGTGTATTGCTTGTATTGTACTGTGCATTTCAGTATTTCGATGCCAGATGATAAAGCTATACTGATGCTTTGCATAATGTGGTCTTTATGTTGCAGTTTCCTATGTAAGATTGGATTGTTTGAGTTAAGAACATGGTCAGTGCTGTTCTGAGCACAGATCACTGCTCAGATTTCAATATAGAAAAAGGGTTTTCTTGTGAAAAGTATCCAGAAACACAGCTATAGTTCCACTTGAATCTTATAGCGCAATTATATTTCAAAAGAAATAAGTTGTTTCTGATGCTTGGTAACGATCCATATAATCCTGCAGACTCCGAGCAAGGTCTAAACCTCATCTACAGAAGATCAAGACCATCTGTGCATGTCCTCACATTTTACGGCTCCAATAAAACAGACATTATAGGCAAGTAAAACCCAGATACCAGACAATGTAATAACATTCTCACAAATACACACATCCATGTACACACACAGAGATTTCTAATGCTAGCGCTTTAAATTTTCAATGAGTAAGATCATACGTCTCCGTGCAAAGGCAACCTTATCAAAATCTTGTTCCGAAACGCTAAGTGTTGTAACATCGGCTTTTAGCACCTCGTCAGACGGTTGAGGTCGCTTGACACAAACAACCTACAAATTAGTTCTGTGATTGTTGAGACGTCTTTATAGATGGCTCCGTGGTGCCCTGATTTGTAAATCCATTCCTTGGTTGCAGACATAAAAGGATGAGAATTGAAGGGTCAACAGAAGAATTTTAGTGGAAATTACAAGGGTGTCCTGGTGGTTTAAGTGATCTACCTTCAGCACCTGTGAATCTAGGTTGATGAATGCCAGGGGCATTGTGTTTGAAGGTTGTGTTCACATGAGCCCTTAATTTTCCTTTATCCTGATTTGCATATACATGTTCAACCTAATGTGACCTCCAAGCTCTCCAAGCTATACAGAAGACATGTAGTGTGTACTTTTCGGAATACAACTCGTTTAATATGCGAAAGATTTTCTTTCACTGGAAACACAATACATGTCCCCTCGAGGCATTGCCGTCAATTTTATGTCATATAAAGGTTAATAAACAAATGTACCTTATGTTGTAGTGAGTGTATAACTGTCCATTGCAATAAGAACCGCAGATTGTTGTAAAACGTGTATTTTGTAAAAGTGTGTATGTGTATTTTGTAAAGAATACAGTGTATACATGTATAACAAAAGTTATATTTGGGATAACACTTCCTTAGTAAAGTACAAATTCTAGAACATTTTTGGGTTGAGTCCCATCCGCGATTCAGAGCGAGGCACCTAATCGACAGCACACAAAGTCAACGATCCAACCAGCTCAGCAAACGAGGCGTCGACAAAAAATGAAAGTCTGATAACTGGTAGTCCAGATCTGCACCCCTCTGATGAGTGTAAATTATGGCCGAAAGCTATGAATACACAATACACTTAGAAAGTGGTACTGGCGAGTAGGTGCTTCACCGGGAGTGTAGATTCGAATCCCGGATGGGAAAAAAGTACAAGAATTTGCACTGATTTGTTTTGTTTGTTTGTTGTTTTACGCCACACTCAGCAATATTACAGGATATGACGGTGGTCTGTAAATAATCGAGTCCGATATCTGATTGTCATAAAGCACATGTTGCATAAGTTAATATTATTATCATAACTGTCTGAAAACCATAACTTACAACTTCTATTGCCATCAGTGACTGCACAACTATCTGTAGGTTATAACTACTGCAACTCCAGGCCAAGGAATGCGATAAACATGTTGGTTGACAAGAGAAACTTGTACATTGTAACAAGAATTTATTTATACAAAGAACTGTATATTGCAATAAGTATAATTCAATATAGCGGTGAATCGGTTTTATATCCATTACCTAGTGCTACATATGTCACGATCTAAGTATAATTGATTTCCTAATTACCAACTGTACTGATTACGGGGTTATTGTCTTTGTTTTCACGTGTTTGAAAGTACAATTTTGGTACAGATATCTCAGGTGACACATTTATGGCGAATAATTGCTATAACATGTGTCAGAAGCCTCATCTGCTCTTCACGGTTTGTGAGTGACCTGCACATGGTACACAGCTATTGCCTGGTAATTAACATCAATAATTATTGGTTATGAATTTAGTGAATAGTGTAATAATAGGACTATCCTTAGGCATTGTTTCAGTATTGAAGAGAAGCTCAAACCAATTTTATGCCAAGGCAATTTTAGTCTGGATTATTATGAGCAGTACCATACACTTGATATACACTGTATGTAGGTCAAATGAAACGTGTCGACGCTGTTGTGATACTGAATATGACACAAATCGGACAAACATCTCTTGAAACACAATATAGTCCTACATATCATGATAATGAGAAACCAACCCATCTATACACCTTTACGCCGTTTATTCTCGTATGAATCTCTGTAGTTAAAAGCGACAAAACCCTTTCCATATTCATAAGAACGGTCTGCTAAAAGCAGAGTCTATTGTACGATTCTGACTATATCATAAGCATGTGTTTATGAATCACTATGACACAGCGATGATAACATATGTTCGAGAAAAAGGTGAGCGTATCCATCACAAACATATGCAAAGGCAGTTCAATTCCTTCACATGTCCATCACAAAACTATTTGAAAGCTTTACTGAGGCCTTGAATGTTGTTACCTTGATAAAAAAACTATTGAGCAAGAGTAGTATGATGCTCTTTGAAATCTTGGTAGAAAGAGCATGCTTGATTGCACCTCAAAAGTTGTGAAATGTAAACTATTTGAAAGCATTAGTTAGCTTTTAGAAATCCAAAGGCACCCCTCTTGTCGTACAGTTTTCTGGAGAGTGGTTTGTCATTCTGAATCTTAATGCATAGATCTAAATATGAAACAGATGTAGCGGCCTCAATGGTAGCCTTAATGCGTGCGTATAAGTAAACGTTAAATACACATAACTCGATTAAGACGGCCGTATAATTATTTAAGGGTTAAATGTTGAATGGCCTTAACCATCACTCCGGATCCAGGGGAGGACATTCTAATCCGTTAGTTGACACGTGTTGTATCTGTACATTAGTGCCCCTGTCAATGGACATCAAATAGTTGGAACTGAGCCGCGTGGGGCTTCTTGGGGATGGTGTTCGGGTGGGGAGTGGGGGAGGGGGTGTGGGGGTGTAGATCGTCATCCCATGCATGTTGGTACCGACTAAAGAGCTAATCAGAATCGGTGACGTGGTTGATTGCGAATCATATCTCAATTTCGTGGATCTTTCCTCGTGCTGGATTCTCTGGTATTAATGTGTCGTCTCCACAGAGATATCACTAAGGTTTTGATGTTACCATCAGTGATATCGCATCACAAACTCCACTACGGGTCAAATACTGAGGTATCCGAGGTGAACTTCAACTCATCATGCCAATGATCACGAAGCAGATCCATCACCTGTTGTGGTCTGATCATAGTTTGATCTGACATACCGGGGCCGTGCCATATGGCATTACAATAGTGAGAAGCCAAATGATTGACAATGTAAATTATCTTACCTCTTTTGGAAGCTCTGAACCCATCGTCGATTGGTAAGCGCGTTATGTTGAGTAATAGTTTTGTTCCTTTTGGCAATAGGTTGTCTTCATGATTAACCCTATACACAGCATACAAGAAGGCGTTCTCCACTGATATATCCTCGTCTCCAACACCGAACAAACCTCCTGAAACAGAATGCATTTCTTATCAGTATATAATGTAAACGCGTAGGTATTTGAAGAAATAGAAAATGGAAGTTTCACCAGTCTAGCAGAAAAATACTGCAATGAGTGAGTGAGTGAGTTTTGTTTAACGCCGCTTTCAACAATATTTTAGTAATACCACAATATGTGAGGAGGACGGAGATTTTAGCTGTTAACTACTGATGAAACTCAATACTATAGGTGTGGTGATGATAAATGATTGGTTATGATGAGGACGAATCTGGGATTCGAACAGATCGCAGATCCTGAGATGCAGCCTGCATAGAAACGCCTTAGACCAATGGTTCACCATTGCCCCCGTCTTTGTGGAGACATTACCAGTGAAAGTACTAGTGGCTTAATAATTAAACGAACTGACAATGTTTAGTATCTCCCTTCATTTCTTTCCATACTTATATTATGTATAAATTAACTACTGATTAAGACTCACTGAGGTGTAACGAGATATATGCATAAATAAGAGAAAGATGGTTAAAACTCTCAGGCTGTTTATTTACGCTCAATATGTTCTTGTTAAAGCTTGAATGTTTCTTTGACTCTTAACCCTCGATTAAAATAAGAACTTAAATAAAGCCAGTTTAATCAAAGAATAAATAAAATATTTGTCATGCAATCATGATCAGAGATAATATGAATGATGAGTTGAATCTTAATTATGCTATCAAAACGTTGGCGTTGAACTCATTTAGGCATGATTAATGATAATGCAATCGCCAGCGGGTGATCCGTGACTTGAGGATACAGTTGGGTCAGTTTCAGGCAATGTCATGGCGGGGAACAGGATGAGATTGACCCATTGTACCTATATTGGGGATCAACTGGTTCCCCAATATCAGGCACTAGATGCCACAGCTACGTCGTCGGGGACTTATATTACACAAATGCATACAGGTAATTCTAGTATGGTTTTACGCCGCTGTTAGCAATATTCCAACTATATCACATCGGGGAACACGAGAAATAGGCTCCACTCATTGTACCCATGTGGAGAATCGAACCCAGTCCATCGGCATAACAAGCGAACGCGTTAACCGCTAGACAACCTCACCGCGCCTACTTACACTTGGAGACTGGCCTGAGAATAAGAGAACCGGGATTGGGATACTTTTGTTTTCAATCTTGAACATAATTTCTTTCGACGCCAGCAAACTCCCACGCAATTCCAAGTTAAACCAAATCCCAGCTCTTATCAGTAACATTATTAAGAAGTTACGAAACCCTTGAAGGAAGGTACATATCCCTAGCAATAAAACTCAAAGCGACATCACAAGGCAAGACGTAGCTTCGGAACATCACAAGCATTCAAAGGTTCTAAACATCAGTATGCAATAAAGAAATTTCGTACGCCATAAAACAAATCTAATTCGCTTTCTCCTACTCTTAATGTGAAACAAGCTTGTCTTTACAGGCGAAACCTACCTATCATATGCTGTAAGACTGTATGCTGTTCTTTCCACATAGCTACTTAGCTAACTGACATAAGGTGATCTAGATGAAAAGTCGTTGCTTTTTTCAGTGTCATCGTATTTTGCAAACAATATGTAATACATTCAAGTGCAAACAACTGATAATGATTCTGAGTGGTATAAATCAACTGAAATGATTAATGCACTGATATATGAAATGCAGGCAAGTAATATTTTTATTGGCTCATTCAATAGTATAATCCTTTCAAACTATCCCTCTTACCCCGTTATTTCAATAATAATTTGCAATTGTAATGACATTTTAGCCATTCTGAACATTTTGGCGTGTGTATATTGGATTTGTTTCACATGGACGTGCAAACGACATTGTGTTTCTTCTGTAAGGACGTATTACTCAATTGACACACAATGCCCGTAATCCCGTTTAACATCGTGTCCATAACAAGGAAATAATAATGACTTCAAACCTAGAACAGTCGATAGCACCATACATTACATCAATAAGTTCTGATTCACAAAACATCACGTAATTGTGACATAAATGCCTTGTGATGTGTACAATCGAAACTGCCATTTCATAGCAGTACGACTCGCCTTACGATATCTGCTAGCTTATTATACTGTAAGACAGGTTTAACTAAACATAGCATTGTACGCTTTTCATATATCAAGAGAAACGTAATAAGACAGGTTACACACTACATCAGACTCTGGTATCAACACATCTATAAATGACTGACTGGTCCACAGTCAGTGTTTACACACCACCTCCAAGCCAGTTCAGTCAAAAAACGATTGACAATTGACAGGATTTACTATTTAAAAATAACCTTGGTGCTTCAGCTTCAAATACGTTTCCATGGAGATGCAGTGTTAATCAAATTTAAACTCCTCTAGTTTACCCATTCTCAGGTATCAAAGTAACAAATCGTCAGCCAAATAAAAACCGAGTCAGAAAACTTTGATTTCTTCGGTTTAAGACTCACAACAGACTCTGGCAGATGGTTTAACAGCATCGCCGTCACCCAATAACAGGGTTGTATGAATCTAATATTCCCTGATTAATTGCATTAACACTACTTTAAGATAAAAAGAATCTATACAATGCAAGCAACCGATGTGTCTTCTTCAGGAAAACTAGATCTGAGTGGCAAGTCTGGATTACCTAATGATCTTTAATATGTGTGCAGTTTGAATGGAAGGTCACATGTCAGACTGCCTTGCAATTGTTCCATGGACGGGGTCCAAAGAACTAGAATTCACTTGGCACCTGTTAGTTAACATGTCAAGGGTATTATATATAATGTACATATATTTTATACGCTACTCATTATCCAGCAGTTAGCCATAATTGGCACACTTGCGTCTTGTTATCACAAACACTTTTATCAGAAAATGAACCTGGAAGTCATGTACATGTAATTGTATCATATCACGCATATTTAAGAATAAGGTTTAATTTGGGGCACACTCTTGACACCTCTTTGGTAAACCGGTGGATATAAGCTTCCAAAATAACACATGTTTTATTCAATAAGTAATTGCGTTTTTTTAGGGAGGTGTCATTTTCATTTGGCATTGGACTAGTTTAGACGGCTATAAACGTAATATGAATAAGGAGGATATGTCCTTTCGGAAATACTTCATGCGTTATGCATGTAGTGTATCACTGTAGGATTCCTTCCCTCCGAAGTCTGCCAGTCTGGAATCTGAAATCTCAAGTACACCTATGTCATGTATGGAGGTATTCTATCACTTCTTTGCCAGTAATAACTAAGTTCTTTACACATCTTTGAGTATTATTATCGTTACAATAGTACTCATATGTAAGATAACAACTGTTTGTGTCATTTTCCTGAATCAGCTGGGTTCTAATGGATATAGGTCAGCTTCTCCAATAAGTAGCAATAATACTACGTTGTTCAATCAAACGTTTCCTCAAGATAGGGATCTCCCCTACTCAAATTTAATATGACTTGCAGTTATTTACCAATCTCATCTACGCTTTTCTTTCAATTAATTGGTTCTTGAATGTGTCCGTTTGTTTTTCTCTTTTAAGCCTGGGCTGGAGTGTAGGGTGTTGGGAGATGTATATATTTGCATCAGCTAAAATGTACATAAAATATGCACGTGTTGATGATCACACACACTGCTTGTTGTGCGTCATCTCAAATTGTTATGTGCATCGTATTCAACGTTTCCATTGAACTTATTGTTCTAAACATACTTTATTGTCCCAAGAGACAAAGGGATTGGGCACAAGTGCACCACACATTTCCACCTTCTCCCTGCTTATTAGTTATATCTAGTCCATACTAATGATTACGTATTATTTCGCGATAATTTTTCATACTTCAATTGTGTGACTTATGATATATTCAAACCATTCCCTTGATTTACCTACATATCTGTCTAGCATCGAAGGCGCTCAGTAGTTGGCTATTCAAGTGCATGTACTTCGTATCAGGTCAGCGCGGTACCTATTGTGACTCACCAGGGGAAAAGGGACCTCATAGGTGCTAGGATACATTTGTGCTGTGGCGTCATAAAGACGCCTGATGTCAACTTACTTCAGTACAAATCGCCATATGTGCGGACTTGACAAAAAGAACTTATTTTTCTCCCGTTAGTTCGTAAGGTTATAACAATAATCAAAACCTTTCAGCATACCTGTCTGCATATCCATATGAGTTATAGCTTTTGTTATATAATCTTAAACAATATGATAAACTGACATACTAAACACAAACAGCGTTGTGAAATATCAAGAAACAACCAAATACTCCCCACACTGTTATATACCATGACTGAAAAATGATATTCTACAATGCTTACAATGCACCTGTACAGTAAGGGACATTCACGCATGCATACATGCATCTCACAGTGATATTGTTGTCAAGTGACAGCAGACCGAACAACCATACAACAATGTTTAGGCAATACATCACTTTGGATAAATGTTTTTTGACATTTTACGCATTGCATTTGCAGCACATGTAAGAGAAACAGGTTTGAGGACGCGAGCAAAAATATGTTATCAAGGTGCAGCGTGAAGCGCGCTTTAATTGGAATAACGTGCTCGTGTTTACGGTGCCGTTGGAACTGCAAGAAGAAGTGCATTCGTGACATTTTGGGATACAGATCAAATGTGCTCCAGGAAAGGTACTATTTGGAAACACTGTACGAGATAGATACTATTATGATACCTATGATATTCTATGAATGTAGTACTTTCAATGTAAAAAAAACAGTCAACTTTTCTTGAACATATTGTGAAGTGATATCTCTCCTTTGCAACTACCAGTTTGTTTGTTATTTAACTCAGCATTATTCGGCATAAAACAACAAACAAAAACAAACAAACAAACTGGGTTGTTAGAATTGCAACGGTTTGACATCATTGCACAGTAACCAGTAACATGTAAAAAGGGGATGTTTCATCACTGTGGAAATTCTCTTTGTTTGGATGAACAGCTGGCATCAATAAAGAATTTGATAAAATAGCGGCATCTGCATCAAAGCTTTCAATTC